TAGTAGTAACAATGTTCGCTGCTAGTAACAAGTGCATCGCTTCTAGTGCCTTACTAGTAGTAACAATGTTCGCTGCTAGTGACAAGCGCATCGCTTCTAGTAACAAGTGCCTTTCTAGTAGTAACAATGTTTGCTATTAGAAACAAGAGGCTATTTGCACTATTCAAAATTGATTCAATACAAATAAACTGAAAGAACTGACACGCATAAACGTGGAACCTGAGGCCAGGTTCCATACCTGAAGGAAAGCGCAAGGTGTTGGCACAAGGCTCTTCCAGGGCAACGCAAAACCATCTCAAAACCGTCTCAAAAACCATTCACACCTTGATGCATCATCTGCATCTCTGTTCCAATCCTCCTCTCTCTTGTCATTGTCCCAGTCCTGAAAGCTGTTCAGATCTGCCTATGTTCTCCCAGCAAGGTAAAGTGGCCTCCCAGCCGTGCTGGGCCCAGCTGCTTTGTTCTGGCCAATCACCTGGTGCAAAGCAATGTTCAAACCTCTCCCTAGTAGCGTCCTTGTTACTAGTAGTACAGCGAGGAGCCCCTAGTAGCTTCTTATTAAAGTCGGAGTTTTAAGGAATACTTGTAATGTTCTTTTGAGTTACTCCTAGCGATGGTCTCCAACCTAATAGTAATGTTCAAACCTCAAGAAAGTTCAAAACTCGCAAGGTCCTTGTTGCACAGGCTGGCCCTCTCCGCGCCACCCCGGCCACTGGCGACCACCTTCATGTGACGTTTTCCGGAACTCAAAAACCTTAACCCTAAACCCTTTCTCCAAATATTTCATTCAAAGGCGTGTTCTCGCACATTCAAAGGCGTGTTCTCGTGTTGCAGAAAAATGGTGGTGAGCTACAGGCTTTGGTCTTTGTATGTCTTTGTATTTGGAGTTAATTAAGTCTGCATGGTGCCCAGTCAGGGTATGTCGTATGTGAACGCCCTGCCACCCTTGCACCACAAACTTTGACCCTTCTTCCTGCTTTATGTTATTTTGTTCAATGTTTTTCTTTGGACCGTTATTTTTCCTTGTTCCTATGTCCTTCTATCTTTAGTCTTTCCGTTGTTTCTTTACACCAGGGAGATCGCAACAAAAGTGAGGGACTGAGTCCTACACAGTGTGGGCTGCTCCACGCAGTGCGAGTCCAACTACTTGGATAGGAAGTGAAAAAACGTTAAAACATGCGTTACTACTAGGAGCAAGGACGCTACTAGGAGCAAAGGGCATCGCTACTAGAAGCAAGGACGCTACTAGAGGCTCCTGGCTGTACTACTATATATTAGCAACAAGGATGCTACGAAAATGGAAGAAGAGAGAGGAAGGAAAACGCGAAGAGGGTCACTGTCGAAAGTGCGAAGAAGGCAGGTGAAGAAGTCAAAGTGGCCTTGAGTGTGGAATGCTGTGATTGCTCTTTGTTTGAGAGGTTTTTGGAGTAAATAGAAGAGGAAACGGAAAACCAAGAAGGTATACAGGTATACCCAAACACCATATTCTTTCTTTACCCAGAAGAACCCTTTCTTGATACAAAAACATCTCCAGAAGCTGCTTCCCATTCGCTGCTTCATCCCATGAACGGCGAAAAAACATGGCAGGTCGGCTGCCATCGTCCCCGGCGGGCCTGAAAAAGCCGACCGCAATCCTCATCACTACATTCACCCTTTTTAGATCTTTTTAGGGCCTTTCCTCACACAATCCACATGAGCTTTTCCTTGTGTGATGGGTTAAAGCCTGGATGAATACTTGGACCGAGAGAAAGTGGTGTATGTCCCGTACTGACAGTTTAAAGATTATGAAAGCAACTAGTAACAAGAAGATACTAGGAGCTGGAAGCTGCTAGTATGTCTTTGAAGCTACTAGTAACAAGAAGCTTCCTTGGGAATTGTTTCACCTGTAGTAACAAGAAGTTTTTTAGTAGGTATTTGAAGCTAAGGTGTCTTCTTCTTTCTTGCCTCCAATCAGAATCACTGTGGCGTGCCTAAGCAGCCCCCAGCCCTTTCTGCCGCCCTTCTTCAAGAAAATTGATGGATGAAAGCTCTGATACAACGAAAGGAAAGAAAGGAAAGGAATCAAAGTCGAATGAAGATCGAGAGGTCCGAAAAAAGAAAGCAAGCTCTAAAGGATTCAGTAAATTCCAAAGATGTATATATATATATTGTAATATATGTTAAGTCCATAACAGAGAAAAAAATTTGATGTGCTTTTGCGTGGGACTTGAGCTCAGGACGCCAAACTTTCCACGCTTGTACGGCGAATGAGCCCAACTGGCGTCAAGTGTTTCAGCGTCTCAGATCAAAGTCACAAAAGACTGTTCAATGGTTGTCGAAAACTGTTGGTTCAGCCTAGTGGTGTCCTTTCTTTGCTTTGTGTCACTTTCTGTATTGTTCTTTTTTTTTGCCTTTCTTCCCGAATGCGTAGCGAAGGGTTCCCGTTTATAGTTGGGGGTCTGGGGGTTGGACCTGTTTGCATGGCTTGCGTCGTGTCGCCGTCTCTCGTCGTCTGTCGTCGTCTCTCGTTGTCTCTCGTCGTCTCTCGTCGTCGTGTCGTCGCCGTCGCGTCTCAAATTTGCTGCATTGGGGGAAGCTTTTGCAAGTGACTTTGCATGGATGTGTCACGTGTCAGTTTGCGCCGCTATTCCATTGTGATTTGCATGACACCGACATGTCGCGCAAGAAACGTGATGCATTTCGCTGCACAGGCGCAGCGTTTCGTGAGATCTGCTGATTGCTGCGCAGTTCCATTGGGATTAGCGTTGGGAGAGTCGTGTTTTTGGGGTGTTGGATGTGGCCGTGCCATTGAGATTTGCGTTTCAGGGTGTGGCATCGAAGCTCGGTTTTCGTGACAAGTCTCAGCTGAAATGGCGATTTTGGTGGATGGGAGTGTGCTCTGAACGGGTCGAAATCATTCCAAACGTGTGGTGTGGTGCAAATTTTGTTGAAGCTCACATGCGATGATATTGTCACTTTTCGTGGCAGGCGCAGGACTTCGTGCGGGTTTTGAAGCGTGGAAGTGCGATTCTCGTGGCAGGCGCACGGAATCGTGAGGTTGCAAGGTGTGAGGGAGGTGACATTTCGTGGCAGGCGCAGTACTTTGTGCGCGTTAGACGTGCGGATGGGGAAAGATTCGTGGCAGGCGCAGGGAATCGTGAGGTTGTGAGTTGTGGTAGAGGTGAATGTCGCTGTCACATTGAGATTGGCGTGTGAGCGGATGTTGTTTGGAGGGGCTGGAATCGCGAAACTGCTTGGCAGGGCTGCGTGATGTGTGTGCTCCGATGGGTGTTTCCGCTTGACTTGTGGAGGAAGTCTCGTACGAAACGCTCGTTTTGCAGACTTTGACGTGTGAGTTTTTGAGGAAGTCTCGTACGAAACGCTCGTTTTGGAGACTTGACGCGCAACCCTCTGCGGAGTCCCATGCGTGCGCAACCCTCTGCGGAGATCGTGCGTGTCGAGTGCGCGAAACGCAGGCGAGAGTGCGATTTGTCCGGTGCCCGCGCAACCCTCTGCGGAGATCGTGCGTGTCGAGCGCGCGAAAAGCAGGCGAGCACTGGCGACTTTGTAGTAATTACAACTTTAGTTTCTGGGGAGCTGGAAGATGAGAACTGGTGACTCGGTAGTACAACTTTAGTACGCGGAGTAATCTGTGGAGCTGGAAGCTGAGAACTGGCGACTTTGTAGTATAACTTTAGTACGCGGAGCAATCTGTGGAGCTGGAAAGCTGAGAACTCGCGACTTTGTAGTGCAACTTTAGTACGCGGAGCAATCTGTGGAGCTGGAAGCTGAGAACTGGCGACCTTGTAGTCCAACTTTAGTACGCGAAGTATCTGGGGAGCTGGAAGAGAGTCTGAGTATCCCACAAGAGTGCCCTACAAGAGTGTCCCACAAGAGTGTCCCACAAGAGTGTCCCACAAGAGTGTCCCACAGAGTGTCCCACAAGAGTGTCCCACAAGAGTGTCCCACAAGAGTTTCCTACAAGAGTGACCCACAAGAGTGTCCTACAAGAGTGTCCCACAAGAGTGTCCCACAAGAGTGTCCTAGAAGAGCGTCCCACAAGAGTTTCCTACAAGAGTGTCCCACAAGAGTGTCCTGCAAGTGAACCACAAGAGTGTCCCACAAGAGTGTCCTACAAGAGTGTCCCACAAGAGTGTCCTACAAGAGTGTCCTACAAGAGGGTCCTACAAGAGTGTCCTACAAGAGTGTCCTACAAGAGTGTCCCACAAGAGTGTCCCACAAGAGTTTCCTACAAGAGTGACCCACAAGAGTGTCCTACAAGAGTGTCCTACAAGAGTGTCCCAGAAGAGTGTCCCACAAGAGTGTCCTACAAGAGTGTCATTTGGACATATTAGTTTTTCGAACGTGTTTGCATTCGGGTTCGTGGATTCCATCTTGTTCATGTCAGTCTTTGTCTTTGTACCCTTTGCACCTCTGCATTAGCTGCAGCTCATCGAAGACGATGAGACTGCAGCGGCCAACGAGTCATCACATCTTTCGCGACGAGTCTGGGTCACTGAGTGTCACTGAAAGCGTTAAAAGCCTAGGTATTCTATCGTATTATGTCTTTTATTCCTTCTTTTGGAGTCACATCCATTCCTCCCACACCTAGTATAATATAGCTTACGTCAAGAGAGTATTCATGGTACTAGCCAGGGGTAAGGTCAAGGCTTGGTGTGCTGTTCTCATTTTCTTTCGACTATGTATATATTTGGATCTGTTCAGAAAGTCTTGAACCAAAGCATAGCACAAACGCGGTCAGGTCCGGCTTTCTGCCACATAGCGCTGTGCAACCTTTCGTAATTAAAAACATGACCTAACACTACATCCCGTGGCCTGATGAATGAAAAGCAAAGCTCGGAGTTTGCAATGGCTTCAGCCTTTCCGCCTTTGTCCTTGTTCCAACTTTGGGAACAAACTCTACATCACTCAGAAAGCCTCGTGGTGATGTCAGAATGCGGTTGGTGATAAATATAGACTGTGGGCAACTCAAGCACATGCCTTTTTGCCGCATCTAGCAAAGATCTCTCTGGAAATTGCATTGTAAATGTCCGAAGCACGTGGCTCAGTGTGTGGGAACATATGACCGTCCGAGTGAGAAAGCTCCAAAATCTCTGGGTACATTTGCTTGAGAGACGCTTCCGATCCTGAGAAGAAATCATCCTGACCTGCATTGAAGACCCGCACCGTGGGATGTGAAGAGGTCCACTTCGTGGGCCACTCAGGCCACTGAAAAAGAGGATCATCAATTTGACCTCCACTGAACATCACGGTCAAACTCCAGGGCACAGAAGTCGAAGTTCTTTCATTCTCTTCCTTCTTTCTCAGTGCGTCCAACAGCAAAGACACACAATTGGACGCTTGCGAAAAACACACCAGAACATCCACAGGCTGCGCTTGGATCAACTCCAACAAGTTGCCGACACCCTGATCCACCTCATTATAGCAGCCACTGCCATGCGAATACCAGCTTCGAAATGGCTGTCCCTTGGACAGGGACTTTTCGAAATCGCCCGGCTCCCCGAAAATGGGATCTTTGGCACCCGGGACGGGAGTCCAAATGCGCGGTGAATCCACAAAGATCCATTCAACGGAAGTTTCGGTGGTTTCCCTCTTTTCAAGTGCTGCTTTAAGTCGTCGCACCTGAAATCTCATGATGGCGGAATTGGAGCTTGCACCATGCACTGCCAAGACCCGCAGCTTTGAAGTGTTCGACGTGTCATCTGCCTCTAATAGTGTCTGTGGCATAGTAGGTTGGAGGCCATCGCTAGTATCGAAGCTAGGGACAGTTTCATGGCCGAGCGAGGCCAGAAGGGCAAAGAGGGATTTCTTCACATCCAGATCTGTTTCTTTCCGTGCATATGCCAAAATTACATCGGTCTTGGAAAGCAGATTATCACATGAACAATCCTTTAAGGAAGCTGCTGCAACTTTCCGTACACGCCAATCCTGATCCTCCAAAGCTTCCAGGAGCTTCTCCAAGCGTGAATCTTGGAGCTCAAGTCCCTCAAGTTGCATCTCGCACCCTGCTTGTTCTTCTCGCTTCTCTTTGTTTTGTGCGTTCAAAAGCGTTGCCATTGTTAAAACTGCTTCGCCCCTCACAGTTGCATCCGCATCCTGGGTCGCACGGAGCATGACTCGCCAGGCCGTGTCGCCATTCGCAGCTCCGTGCCCACTGTGCCCACCGTGTGCTCCATCTTCGTTCTCCATCCGAGACAAGCACCGGAGGACCTTCCTCTTAAGGCGAAAATCAGCTGATTCGAAGACCACCTCCATCTGAAGAGCAGCCGCAGCTTGTTCGCAGTAGTTCATCCTGCCAAATAAGGCCAAGGACTCCTGGAACGAAAGGTCACTCAATTGTGTCAAGGTGGCTATAAAGCGCTCTGGTGCTGTTGGAGCTTTGCAAAGCAAAGGCTTTTTTTGTAGAGAAATGCTCACCCAGCCAGAATCCGGTCCAGACCCAGTGATCAGTGTATAATTCAGTCGCTCGTTCACCAACTGAATCTCCTGAACAATAGAACCAGTGGCCAAACGGGATGAACACTCAGGAGACGTCACTGCGAATTCTTCACGAACGATGATTCCACCCTTCTCGCTGCCACCGATCACCTGCCAAAGGTCTTTGAGCTTCGAAAGCAGCTCTTTGCCACTTTGCAACTTCAAGCTCACCCACCCCGTCTCAGGCCCAGAACCCGAGAGCTTCCGAAATCGAAGTCGAAGATTCGAAGGACTCGAGAAGTCCTTTCGAAGTTCACTCGAATGTTGATTTCCTTGAAGCTGAGATGGACTCGAACCTTCTCTCTCTTCAATCGCATCTCTTCTCTCTCTTCTCTCAATCTCGACCTCCAACTCTTCCACCACCGCTCCGGTGCCCAAGCGTCCCGTGAGCTCGGAGTTCACATCTGCACTTCTTCGAACCACAATGCCACCCTTCTCACCACCACCCACAACTTTCCACAGAGAAAGGAGCGAAACATGCGAAGCCATATGGCGTATGGTGTGGATTCTCTCTTTCAAGGCTGGTGTGCTTCACAACTTGCCCTCAGAATTGATGTTGGGATTGCGAGCTGGTGACTTTGGTGATGCAATTTGATAGAAGCGACTGGCAGCTCAACAAGCTCAAGCGGCTGGAACCGAAAAGGATAGAGAAATAGCTGGACTGCCAGAGACTATCTATCAAGCGCAGTTTGAAAGCCGTGGGATCAAACACGGTCAAACTGCACAGTGTTCAATCCAAGGCTCTGAATGGCAAAGACATCCTGGCAGTTGAAAGTCTGAGGAAGTCAATCTGAAATAGACGATTGAATAAAAGTCAATTCACAATAGTATATTGTTTCTACTAGCTTCTTGTTACTAGTAGTAAGGCACCTGTTACCACTAGCGTGGCACTTGTTCCTAGTAGCTTCTTCTTTCTAGTCTATTCATTTTCTTGAAAACTGAACCATGTGTTTTCTGTTTGAAGGTAGATTGGAGAACGCTTTTGTCTCCTGAGGCCCAGAAGGAGCTCTGGGTGCATCCAGGTGAAAATCCAGGCTACAGCCAGAGCGCCTGTCCACACTCCATTCCGAAGAGTTTTTGTTCAAAAGAGAGTTGCGAGTCCTTGGAATATCCAATTTTGCAAGGTGTCAAGAGCTCGAAAAAAAGAAAACTGTCTCCAACTCTTTTTATGAAGTGTGCACCGTGCTGAAGTTTCAGGAAATGCTGGAACTCCTAGGCTGAAAGAGCGCCTCACTCGAAGTCGCAGTCTCGACTTCTGGCGTGTGTCCCCCAGTTGCAGCAGCACCTCCCGCATCTCCAGCAAGGAGCCCTGACTTCGACCAGAGAGGAACTGCTAAAAGGCCCCTATAGCTAGTAGGTTGGAGGCTATTGCTACTAGGTTGGAGGGCAATGCTTCTAGGAAAGTTCATCTAAGTCAAATGAAGCTGCCCCTGCCACAGGGGTGCCGTTGATGGCGAGGATCTCATCACCAACCTGAACTGGGCTCAATTCATCACAGGACTTATATAGCCTGCCACGAAAAAAGAAAAAGAGCAACTGGACGAATTTACAATGCAATTGCTTAACTCATAAGGGCAATTCTGGTAGACGAATTATACTAGGAGCAAGAAGCTACTAGGGGCTCCTGTCTCTCTCCCAGAAAGGCTAAATTGATTGCCTGGATCCCAGCTACTGCAGCAGCGCTGGATGCTTGGAGGGACTGGCCCAAGGTCAGTCTAAAGAAGAAACCTCCAACCTAATAGGAATGGCCTCCAACTCCAAACTCATTAAATTTTATAGATCTAAAACAAAAACTCTTCTTTTTTCTTGCTAACAGCGATTGCCTCCAACCTAATAGCCATGGCATCCAACCTGAAGCCTTTGTGAGATCTCTTTGGAATCAGCCTGTCCGTTTCAAAACCTGTGCTCTTTCCAACGCCTTTACCACCACAGCAGGCGAAGTCAAAGTCCCTCCAACCTTCACAGATATGAGAGAACGTCGGCAACGATGTATTGCATCTCAACCAAAGTGTCAACACACTTAAGCCTGATTATGAATACGACACTTGCCACAACTATCAATACCACCACTGACGACCACTACGGCTACTACCAGGCTACCAAAACTGGCAGTGCTAAACCAGTAACTAGGCAAAGGCCTTCACCTCCATTCCAAGAACTGGCAAGCGCCAGGGGTATCCAGCCTCATTCAAATTTGCCACCAGTCATCGTGAAGGAATTAAGGAAAACACAAGCAGACAAAAGCGGGCCAACAACTCCGTCAAAGCGCCTCCAGGCATTCCACCACGCAGCGAACCCTGCAGTGGGCAAAGTAACCAAAGTGTGCCTTTTTGGGCAGTAAATTGCTTCCGTTGCATGGTTGAAGAGCCTTTCTGCTGGTATTGCCAGCCCATGCTCCTCAAATTTCTTAGCCACCATGGCGCAGACCTGGGCGGATGTGCAAACAAACATGAGCAGTGTGGCCCCCTCTGGTTGAGTTCGCAAAGCTTCCTGACCTCGCCATTCATGTTCAAAACAGGAGATCCTGACCTGGAGAGCTCGAGCACTAATCCTTAACAAGTTCTTGGAAAATAGAAGAAAGAAATTGTGTTTATTGTTTTTACTAAGCCAAGGTTGTTTTGTTTGCATAGGCTCGATCCCAAGCCACAGACATGCCGGGCAGCGTGGGCAAGGCTAGCTGCACAAAGTGCACGGTGGGCTCGAGCGGGACGCCCCGAAATCTCTGCCTCGACACATCGCTACGAACGGAGCAAGGACCCTACGTTCGGGGCTCCTGGCCTTATTGCTAGGAGCAAAGAGCTACTAGTAACAAAGAGCATCGCTACTAGGAGAAAGGACGCTTCTAGGTTGGAGGCCATCGCTAGTAGGTTTGGAGGCCATCTTCAGCTCAGTCTGTTGACAGAAATTGCATTCTGAAATCGCCTCGGTTGACTCACCAATCCAGAAAGGCCGACTGCCTCACAGGATCCAAGCAAATCTGTTTTAAATAAATAGCTTATTGTTTCTAGAGCTTATTAAATTGTGTTATCGATCGGCCGCAAGCAAATGGCGATCGAAGCGCGACTTTCGCCGGACCAAAAGCGAAGCGAAATTGTTGGGTCAAGATCTAAAGATGGCCGCGGGTGCAAACCAAGGATCATGTCATGCCTCACCGAGCAACTGATTTCACAGCTGCCTCTTCTCTTTTGTCGGTGGAGGCATCGGTGCAAAGATTGAAATCAGCACCGCGCAGGCCACACCAATCGGTGCTTGGGAATTGCCAAGTTCCTTATAGGGCACCCGATCCTCTAGGATCTTCCACTCAGAGAATCCTGACGTGTGGTCGAATCTCCCATAGCTGCTTCTGAGGGGGTACTTCTTGGGATCCAGTCGGGGCTCTGGTGACCTAAATGACTTGGCGTTCCGAGCAACTTGCATTGCTACATCTTTCTCAAAATGCCAACCCGAGGCTTCTGACAGCCTGCGCAGGTATGGAAAAACATCATGAGACGTGTCTAGGCTTTCACCAGGCACTGCCGCATCAGCGCTCAGCTGGCTGCTCTTCCTGCCACCCTTGTTGGGCTTTTTGATGAAGCTGGCACTGTAGCAAGCATTCCATCGGCCCTTAGTGAGGATGCTCTGCAGATGAGACAGGTCCATCTCCTTCGCGCCAGCATCCACAAACATGTTCTCTGTGGCGCTCCACCTCAGGGAAGTGTTGGGCCGTCTCAGGATCGATCTGATCCACGTCGTGGTGAAAGCCAGGGACTTCTGCGAGCCGAACGACGGAGTGTCGCTTGAGCACTTGTCGAAGGTGTCCTTGGCATCGGTCACAACGGTGAGCGGGACCGCATCCAGGATGGCATCAACGTGCCGATTCTCCATGGGGTAGCCAAGGAAGTCGGCCATCACGCCACGGACGTACTGTCCAACATCAAAGGCCTCTTCAGCTCCCAAGAGCTCAGCGCCGAAGGTGCTCCGGCAGACCTTAGGCAGGCGGTGACTCCGCGCATCCAGAAGGCAGAATGAGCCTTCCTTTCCGCCCATCAAGGCCTTGTCGGCCAACAAGACGAAGAAGGAGGACTGCGAGTAGGTTTTCTCCTTCATGGGAGCGTCTGCACCACCATTCTTGGCGACGTTGCCCAGGCTGGAGTCGGTGACCACCATGACGCCAGCGCCGTCAAGCTCCATTGGCCTGAACTTCAAACTGAAGCTGCCGGAGGCCTTCATGCGCTTTGCCAGCGCGTTGGCCTTCATCAAGGCGCCCATGTTGGGCGTCTCTCCCTGCAGCACAGACAAGGCATAGCCGTGGTCAACTCGAACTTGGGCCACAAGCCATTGTAGCGACCCCAAAAGGCCACGTAGTTGCTTCTGCTCAGCTGGTGTCAATGCTGCTGCAGGATCACCTCGACGATGAGTGGGGATGACAACAGTCTTGAGGTTCGAGTGGTATTCCTCCATGCTGACGGTAATGACGCCAGTCGTGAGGTCCTGTGAGATGTTCTTCCCACAGTAGTTGAAGGCATTGTGCTCAATGCTGCCAAAACCCAACTCGGTTTCCAGGCTCAGAATGCTCTTGCGGGCTTCTTCTCCACCTCCACATAGAAGGTCATCAACGTGCGACAAAACAACACCAAGCAATGTTGCACGATCATCGCTCCAGAGAAACCAGCAAGCTGCATCGACGGTGCTTCTCTCCCAGCCTCGCTCAGTCAGAGCGCGGTTCAAACGAAGATACCATTGCCGGGGGGCATCAGCTAGTCCAAAGACTCCTTTTCTCACACGCGCCAAGCCATTGGCGCTGAGCGGCAATCCAGGTTCATCCCCGCGGATGCGGATGTTCTGGATGAAGAGCTCACGAGTGCCGGACATGTAAGGGTCACCCTTCATGAACGCAGACTTGATGTCTACTGAAAGCAGCCGCCAGCTCTTCTTGGCAAAGTTGCATGCAGTGAGCGTCAAGACCATGTGCTGGCTTGTCCTGCTGGCCGTGGGTGCATCCTTCCGGATGGAGAAAGCAAAAACATCTTTGAAGCCAGGCACAACCAAACGTGCATTGGGCTTTTCCTCCAAGTTGTTGCTCTCTGTTCGAAGGCCGTCGTGCTTGTCAGTAAAAACCCAACGAGGTGTCAGGATCTTGCCTTCTTCTCCACGACGCTTGAGCTCCTGACGAATCTTCAGCGACTCGGCTTCGGACAGGACCTCCACAGCATCATTGTTGGTCCACACAGCCCAACCAGCTTCAGCAGCCTTCTTGTAGCCCTCCTTCTGCTTGGGACTCATTGAGCTCCAGTGGTATTCGCGCCGGGCAGTCTGCACGGCATTGACGTCATTGATGTCGTCCACTCCACAGGGCCATGTCAAACCCAAAGACTGACGGGCTTTCCACTCAGAAGGTGAAGGCATTCCCCATGAACCACGCCAAGTTCCATGATCTCGAACTTGAGCATCCAGGGGGTTCGCACGATCAACGCAAGCCTCACTGTAGATCTTCATCAGGGGGTGCACATCCTCCGCGTGGTTGTTGAGGACGGACAGGATCTCATGCTTGCTAACGACCAGAGTGTCATTCAGCTCAGAAGGCGGCGGTTCCGCTTGAGAAGCTGCTTCACTCTCTGCGCGAAGACGTTCAGCATCAATTTCAGGTCCTCGCTTCACGCTGCTGCTGCTGTGTTCTGTGTGCTCTGTTGTTGGTGACAGAGGGCGCAACAGCCTGGCACGGGCTAGTTGTTGTTCAAGTAGTGGAAAAGGTGACTGTGAGTTCACCGTTCTGGATGGTGCCGTGGTGGGCACTGGTGTGTTCTGCCTCGTGAAAGGTGTTGTCTGTCGTGATTGTCCAACAACTGAGGGTAAGGACGGCTCCAAACCAGCTTGCATTGCTCCAACCATCTCTTGCGGCTCAACAGGCGGCAAGTCTGCAGGAACTCGCTCCTCTTCTGCCTCAGAAGGAGCATACGAGGGTGCCAGCGAAGTGCCAGTAGAGCTCGAAGTCCTGCTTGAAGGCGATGGTTTGGAAATAGCAACTCCACTTCTCGTCATGTCGTGAAGTGCGCTTTCAACGGCTTCTTCAATTGCATCTCGCCAAGTGTCAGAGGCGATCTGCTCCATAGGGCTGGCCAATCGCACATGCTCCATGCTGCACTTGGTCAACTGACCCTTGAAGGAAATGTAGCAATTTGCTCCTTGTCCATTGGATCCATTCTCAATTGCCACAAGCAAACCAGGGCCATGCCAGCGACGAAGTGCGAGCCGATGTCGTCTTCCAGTGCTGCGACTGTTGTACTTTTGAAAGCGGAAGAAGTACACGATAGATCCCGGCGTGGGAGCATTGGTGATCGTTGTGTCGCGGCTTCTGGCAAGCTCGGCCTTTCTCAGGCCTCGACTGAAGTGCAACCTCGTCATCGACACCTTAGCTGTCTCGCGGAGTGCCATCAAGCGGGCATAGTCAGGGTTCTTGTCCACAAGGTCGTGCTCAGCTAGGCGGCTTTGCACATCTGTCAAGGTGTCGCCAGGGATCTTTGGTTGTCGTCCCAGGGCAGCTTGAGCTGGAGAGACACCTGAGTCATTCACATCCTGGTTGTACGCTGCAGTGGCTTCACCGAGCGCTGCCTCCATTTCAACACGGCCTTGCACTGAGTTGGCCATGACCACGGCATTGAGGATGGCTTTGAGAGTGCCACCACTTCGCTCTGCAATGCCGTTTTGCCAAGGGGCGCCAACTCCAAAGTGCCAGAGCAGCACGGAGTTCTCAGAGCAGTAGTCCTGGAACTTGTGCGAGATGAACTCTCGAGCCTGATCACAGACCAGAACTCTCATAGGGCCAAAGACCGGCATCCAGCGGGTCTTCATGAAGGCGATGACATCCTCTGCTGACTTCCGTTCCAAGACTTGTGACATCTGGAAGCGTGTGCAGAAATCTATGCAATGGATGATGTAGTACTTGGTGCCATCAACGTCGAACGCCTCGAGGATGTCCACGTGCACTTGGTCACTCACATCACGTGGTTGCGGAAGTGATGCGGGCCTTTGAGGCTTTTGTGGTGCTCTTTCCTTGCAGATGGAGCACTGATGTTCCTTGGCTGCTCGAATCACCATTGCCGGAGCTCCAGCGATGGTCAAGGATCTTGCAAGCCGCTTGTTGCTTCTGTGGCCAGTATTGGCATGAAGTCTTGCCACAGCAGCTTTGATGGCAGCCGGAATCTTCTCTGGATTTCCACTGGCCTCCTTTGTCTCAAGATCAGAGTCGCTGTCCAGGGTAGGCGGTGCAAAATGCTCGCCTTCCAATTCATCTTCCATGTTATTGCCAACGGCCAAAACTTCAGAGGAGTTCTGAGCAGTGAACTTCTTGGCATCAAGGTTGAACTGGTCCTCCATCCCACGCACAAGCAAGCGAGCCATAGCCGCGGGGTAGTGTCCGGCTCGAACGGTCACTTTGGAGCCACCAATCACTGGGTCATGGATGTGGGAGCGCGTGCACCGACGTCCATCCATCAAGGAAGTCACTGTAGAGCTCGATGAAGCGAGACGAGTTGGCTTCTTGTGAAAATTGCCTTGCAAAGAGCGAAGTCCCAACTGGCACTGGTCAAAATCAACCAGAAAAGGGTCATGGCGATCAATGAACTCTTCCATCAAGGGCTCGCGCCATGCACCACTTGGAGCCGGATTCTCAAGGGCATAATGCCGGCCTCCTCGGAGTTGTTCTTCAGCGAGCTCCAAGGCAAATGACATCAGGATGCGGCCTCGCTCAAGGACTTCTGGTGACATCTTGCCCTGGTTCAAACGCTGCAAGGGACTGAAAGGCCCACAAGGAAAAGCGATCGTCAAGAAAAAGGGCTTCTCCTTCTTCACCCAAGCCATGCAAGCTCGGCGATCCTCCTCCTGCAGGAAGTTCCATCCAGTCTCTAGGCTCATCGGAACTCCGACACGGTGGCCTCTTTTGGCTGCCTCCTTCATGACACGTTGCGTTGTCGTGAAGATCTCTGTCATGAAGGTTCCTTCATTGCTCTTCGGTGTAGTTCTTTTCGAAGGACTCTGTTGGGACAAAGGTCTCTTCAATTTCAAAGGACTCTTTTGTCTTGAAGGTCTCAACAGGCTTGAAGAGGTTCGGTTGGAAAAAGAAGGTGGCTTGGACGTAGAGGGAGTGAAACATGAAGCCAAGTCCACGCTATTCATGAAGATCTCGTCGTTCATGTAGTGAGACATTTCCTCTTCAAATTCTGTCACAAGGGCCTGTCGAACTTGATCCTGGCCGAGGGAAATCTTCTTACAATCAGCCATGTGCTTCTCCCAGGCATTCGCAATGAGTGTTGCCTGGCCCTTCTTGAGGTCTTGGTGGAGGTCAAATTCTAAGCATCGAGAACTCTCTCCACCGCCTCCTTCGCGAGGTCGACGAATTCCAGGTCTCCATACTGGGCGTCCAGCCGGTCTTGGTAGACACTCTCCATGGACTCGCCGGCCAACTGACGAAGCTCTGCCTCCGTGTACTCTCCCATCGTGCGATCCGTCTCCCCGTTGAGGATGCTGTCGATCTGCATGGGAGTGGCCTCGGACAGTGAGAAGTGCTCGGGCAGTTCTCCTGCAGTCTGAAGTGGGTTGTTCTGTCCTGCCTGCTTGGACAGCAGATCGAGCACGCCAGCGACTTGTTGCATCATCTCGGCAAATTGAGCCTGATTCTGGCGATGTTCTCGCTGCATCTCGGCCACTTGCGGAGACGTTGAGTACGTCATGGTAGGAGGTGCTTTGGCAACTGCTGGACTGCTTGTAGGAGTCGGCTTGGCATAGTCCTGACTTGAACTCGAGGCCTTGTTGTAGTTCTTGGAAGCCGGCTTGGACTTCAAGAGCTCCACCGTGGGTTTCACTTTCTCTTTGATCTGGGCCACGGTCATGTTGGCCTCGACAGGCACATTGAGCAGTGCAGCCAAGCGCAACAGATCTCCTCGAAGAGTCGGCAGTCCACCGCGAGGTCCAATCAACTGACGAGCTTCCTCCTCGCGGGTGCCATCCTTTTCGGCCTGCTTGGCCTTTTCCTTTGCCTCCTTCAAAGCTTCTTGCTTGACCTGTGCTGCCAAGCCCTTCGATGAGCGAGCCGCCAACATTCCCATCAAAATAGGATCTTCCACGAAGGCGACCTGCAAGCCCATCCGGTTGCGAAGCCACATGCACTCCTGCATAGCGCCCATGTTGAAGTGTCCCAAAGTCGTGGCTTTCTGGAAGGTGCCGAGAGGCATGAGGTGATGCTTCTCCATTTCTTGTGCCTGAAGCTTCCAGCGGGCCAACGAATTGATAGCCGGGTACGGCAGTGGGACAAAGCGAAGATGAGGCCGCCGCACAAGCCATAACAACAGCCCATGCAAATGCCAGCTTAGCCGAGCCACGGAACGTTGCACGAGGCGCATCCATTTTGTGGCAACTCTTGCTCCCCTTGAGGGCGGGAGCGGCTCGCTTTTGCGGAAGAAGGTGCCGGCCAACAAGTCCATCAGCTGCAAGGCACTCGTTTGCCAAAGAGCTCGGAGTCCGGGTCGTCGTAGGGGATGAAGTCGTCACGTGGGGTCCAGCTTGAACCGACATGCTCTGAGCGGCTTCATACTTCTCAATGATCTCTTGCGCAAACAAACCAGCTTGCAAACTGCGCTCCGACAATAAATGCTCATGAACGAGGGCTTCATGCAAAGGATCTGAGGCCTTCAACCTTCTAGTCAACCACTCTCTCAAGGTGACTTGAAGCTCAATGATGCCATCAGTGCCAACGCGGCGCCATTTCTGGGTGCCCACACCTGGCCATTGTCGTGGAATGAGGCGGAGTAGGAAATGACCTGCCGCGAGCTGCTTCAAGGGAATTGCTGAAGTGTTGAGGAAGTCAAATTTGATCAACCGTCGGGAAAAACTCATGGTGGCCCCAACCGACTCGAGGTAGTCCCGACCAAGGAGTAGACCAAGTGAAGGAACTGGTACCACTGAAGTCCAGAAAACCAGAAGGGTGTCTCCGATGACCATGGGCAGCCTCCATCGTTCGGTGCTGACCTGCGTGCCACCATCACCAAATCTGAAGACTTCATTTTCAGGGGCACTCTTCACCAGGGACCAAATCTCCTCAGGGGCAGCTCGTAGGGCTTCCATGTAGGTGATCAACCATTGGGGACCCGTCACGGTCCGGTTGCAAGCACTGTCAAGGGCTCCAACTAGACGCTTGTCGTGGGATAGGGTACCAACAGCATGAACTTCTCGAGGTGGTTGCGACTGGTTGGAGTTCAACACTTCACCAAGCGAGCGGTTCCGTCGGACACATGTCACCGCAAAGGCTTCATGAGGACCATCTTCAGGGGGCAACTCATCAACAACATGCTCCGTGTTGAGGGTCTCCACAACCTTCACAGCCTTCATCGGCTTCTTCGGAGGCGGACCTTTTCTGCCAAGGCCGGCTCCAGGCTTGGTGCATTCGGCATCACCAGCCCAATGGCCAGGAAGGCCACAGTCGAAGCATGGATGCTTCCCTGAAGCTTTCTTCGCTCCAACTTTGGACTTGGGATCTGCGGCCGGACTGGCCTTGCCATAGCCTCTATCTTTCTTCACTTCAGCCAGTTTCTGCCTGGCTTCACGCATTGTCAACAATGCTTCCGCCGCCGACTCCACTGTCTCCTCAACATCTTGTACAAGGGCGGCTTCAACACCCTCTTCAACAGCCTCCTCAAGCTCTGTGGCCAAAATCTCGGCCTCAGCCTGCAGCACTTCCTCCAGGTTGGGGGACTCGCCATTTTCCTCCAGCTCCGGTTCATCCGGAACCAACTCTTCTTCTTCGTGGGTATCAGCAACAAAGGCTTGTCGATGCTGACTCGGAGAGCGCTTCTGGAAAGGCCTGCTGGAGGCATAGGTCGAGCTTGAGCGACCTGATGCAAATGAAGACACTGAAGGCGCCGACGATGAGGGAGCTCGAGACGAAGGTGCTCGTTGCTGAGCCAAAAACCTCTGCATCAAGGGCGGTCCACGAGGTTGCTGGTCTCCTCCATGAAAGGTCTTCTTCGCCAGCGGGTCTGCGGAGTGCAAATCTCTGAAAAGACGAAGCACTTCGACCTCTGTCTCCTCATAGGATTCCTTGCCCTGCAATGCGGTCTCGAGCAACTGCTGCCTCAGGGCATCCAAACCAAGCTTTTGCTTGAGAAACCATCCAAGCTCTGCAGTGGGAAGGGTGACTCCTTCCATGCGAAGCTCGGCGACGGCCGAGCGAAAGCGGGTGCAAAACTCTGAAATCCTCTCTTGGGGCTTCCGCTTCAACTCCAAGTAGAAGGAGTTCCTGAGATCTCCTCGCTTGTCGAGCTGTGTCTTGCCGTTGATGGTCTCCAAGGCTCTTAGCAGCTTGTTGATGCCGGCAAGAGGGTCCTCGGGCGTCAGCTCGATGTCGTCGCCCGTCTCAGGATCCTTAGCCATGATGGCTGGCTGAAATGCCAACTCAGCTGGCGTGAACTCTTCTCCACGCTGCCTCACTATTCCTGACTGCCGAAGCAACCATCTTGCAGCCAGGTTGTACTTCTTCGTGCTCTGGACGTCGAGGGCCTCAAGCCACCAGGTCATCTCTTTTCTGAATGACCTCCAAGTCTTAGGATCTCCATCCCAAACAGGAACTCTGCTCCAGGCTCCGGCATTCTTGTCATCCTCAGCCATGGCCGAATGGCCACCAATCCTCAGGATGAGGTGACACACTAGTTCAGGCCAAAGGGGCGAGGGCCTATTGAATTCAAGGGAGCTTGTTCTCTCTGTTCTGAATCGAGGTGGCCGAGCCCGCAGGGATCACCCTCGAGGAGGTCAGAGACGAAGGGCTCTTCGTGCAAAAGGGAAACCAAATGCTCAGGCAGCAAGGGACACCAGGCGCGGCGGCCAGCAGCGTCAAAGCAAAAAGCCGCGGAGAGCGCAGGCTAGGATCGGTAGGCTCCGGTGCCACTGTTATCGATCGGCCGCAAGCAAATGGCGATCGAAGCGCGACTTTCGCCGGACCAAAAGCGAAGCGAAATTGTTGGGTCAAGATCTAAAGATGGCCGCGGGTGCAAACCAAGGATCATGTCATGCTCCACCGAGCAACTGATTTCACAAATTGTAATTAAAGTCTATAGCTTATTGTTTCTACTAGCTTCTTGTTCCTAGTAGTATTGCCAGTAAGGCCAGGAGCCCCTAGTAGCTTTCTAGTATGTATGTGTGTTTTTTTCTGCTTTTTCGTTCATCCTTTCGGTGAATTGAATGAAACAAACATGACCATTACCTCTGGTGCATTCAGACAGATTCTGCCTCCTGCCCATGCTGTGTCATGCCACACACCAGCACTCGTTCGCCTTGCCTGCTAGCAAACCGAAGCAAGCAACAAAAGTTGTTTACACAAACACCACAAACAACGAACGCCACTGCTGTTAACCACAACCGAAACGGGTGCGTCACCTTGGCAAATCCCGGCTGAAGCGAAATGGAGCGCTGACAGCTTGAAGTTCTGCCTCTGCAATCTCTCAAAGCAGTCTGCGCAGTTTTCGAGAATATGTTTTCGAATAGAACATATGTGACATGCAAAAGACTACATGAGTTGTACATCTACGCCCTTTTTCCACGTCTGACTTCCAGTTCCGCCTCATCGCAAAGCCGCAGGACCTCAGGGGACGCTGTTGAACATGTGCCTCACCTCAAATCCTGCAGAGAGGAAACAAGACACACAGAGAGGAAACAGGATCACCCGAAAACCTGTTACTCGTGGTGTTTTCTTTTCGGACAGCGGCTGTTGATGCTAAGAGCGGTTTTGCGGGTGAATTGGAACAGCCAGGACCAACAAGACTATGATTTCAACGAGTGGCTTTGCATTGCGGTCACCACAAACTCAGCCGTTCACTGCCACGTCTGCCGCCATGCAGGAACCATGCAGCTCTGCAGCGGCCCAGCGGCCGTCCCCAAAGCGGAGCACTAAGTGCCTCGCAAGCTTTGAAGGAAACATAGGAAACTAAGGGCCCTTTCTTTTCATAGCCATGGCCTCCAACCTAAAAGCGATGGCGATGGCCGCCAATCTACTAGCGATGGCCTCCAGCCTACTAGCGATGGCCTCCAGAGGAAACAACAAAAATTTGTCAAACAGTCACTGATCCCTGCTGGCCAAAGGGAAGAGAAAAAGAAGGCCCAACGCACGCGATTGGACCATGGCAGAAAGCACCTTTTCAGGCTACTGCTCTCGATCAAAGCTCCACTCAGCTGGGGGTAGTTTCACCCGACCAACGTGAGTACAGTGCTTGGCCCACTCCTTAGCATGTCCAAATCAAGTCTTGGAGACAAAAATACATAAAAATGAAAAACATCCAGAAACATGTCTTTGAAAAACTCGTTGCTTGCGATTTGAAAACTCGTTTTGGGGCAAGCCTCTTTACTGTTGGCTGGCCACCCACTTAATCTGTTCCAAGAGAACATGTCATGTCACCAGGCCAATATGTTTACGCCGAGTGCATGGGATTGGACGCTCTTGGAAATAGTTTGCCGGGTATTGTCGATAAAAGCATCTTTCCGAACAGATCGGGATCCCTATCACCAAGCTGTATCTAAGCTGCGTCTGGGAGGAGCAAGAAGCTACTAGGAGCAACCGGCATCGCTACTAGGCAGGCCCCGGAAAAAGCACACATTGCTGTTCGTGATGTCGTGATGTCCCCTGCGTAATATTGCTCACACCTCCCCAACAAGGCAAAGTGTAGAGGCCATCGCTATTAGAAACAAGTGCCACGCTACTAGGAACAGGTGCCTTACTAGTAGTAACAAGAAGCTACTAGAATTAGATTTAATTTTAAACTAAATTAATAGCTTCTTGTTACTACTAGTAAGGCACTTGTTACTACTAGCGTGGCACTTGTTACTAGTAGTAACAAGAAGCTACTAGAAACAAGTGCATCGCTTGCATGTTGTGTCTTGCCAAAAAAGCCTCTGGGCGCTTTGGCTCCATCGACAGGCTGGGCAATTTGGCATCCACCCGGTGCCGGCCTGCACACGTAAAATCTCATTTTTCAGTTGTTTACTCACTCCCTTTCCGATGCTTCCGTATTCATCGCCTGCCCGCAGCACAGCACCCCCGATCAGTCCAGAAAGTGGCTCGGGAACTGACACCTTGCGATAGCAAGAGCTTCTTTCTGAAAACCCTAGAAACAAGTGCCACGCTACTAGGGGCTCCTGGCCTTACTAGTAGTAACAAGAAGCTACTAGAAACAAGTCGTGCATCGCTTCTAGTAACAAGTGCCTTACTAGTAGTAATACGGAGCTAGTAGTAACACGTGCATCGCTTCTAGTAACAGGTGCCTTACTAGTAGTAATTCCTCCTTCAATGAAAGCACGCGCGAGGCCTCAAAGGAGTCGTGCCACACAGGAAACTCCTCGGACAATTGACCTGATGGCACGTCACGGTCCCTTTCTTCCTTCCACTACATTGCTATTCGGTTGGAGGGCAATCGCTATTCGGTTGGAGGGCAATCGCTATTAGGTTGGAGGGCAATCGCTATTAGGTTGGAGGGCAATCGCTATTCGGTTGGAGGGCAATCGCTATTAGGTTGGGGGCAATCGCTATTAGGTTGGAGGGCAATCGCTATTAGGTTGGGGGCAATCGCTATTAGGTTGGGGGCAATCGCTTCTTCTAGGCTAAAGGCCATTGCTATGATTCGGTTGTAGGCCATGGCAAGTAGGTTGGAGGCAAACGGTTGTTCTCAGGAAGAAATCGTAAGGCCAGGAGCCCCTAGTAGCTTCTTGCTCCTAGTAGCGATGCCCTTTGTTCCTAGTAGCTTCTTGCTTCTAGTAGCTTCTTGTTACGAGTAGTAAGGCCAGGAGCCCCTTGTACTGTAGTCTCCTTGCTCCTAGTAGCGATGCCCTTTGTTCCTAGTAGCTTCTTGCTCCTAGTAGCTTCTT